CAATGGACTTGCTTTATTCTTCGCACCGAAAAAACATTGTATCTGCTACGCGAAACAACGAATTTCCAAAAATTCATCGAATGCTATCCGGAGAGTCGTGGGTTTGGAGGCAGAGAAGCGACATTGTCACAAGATTCATCCCCCAACCGCCGGGAGAAATGACAGTTGCTGGGTGATAACGTCCATGTTCGCGAACCATCAACAACACGTCTGAAAAAGATGGCCGTTGAAGGGGTCCCAAGAAATCTTACTTATCTTTTTCTACAGGCTCAAAAACGAGGGTTTTACAGGCATTAACAGGACCTTCGCGAGGATCCCTATTAAGGATTGGCACCGTTCGTGACCCTGTTTTTTTGACGCCATCGGAAAGAGCATGATCGAATTAGTAGACTGGCGCTATTTTGACAGTTTAAAAATTCAACTTTCGTGGTTAAACTGGGCGCTAAAGTTGCCGATGGTCAAAAAAATCACTCCAATGTTACTTGTCGAAATAGGCTGCGAATTTGTGACTGGGCCTAATTTGGGGTGCTGATAATTTTTTAATACATTGTGAGACACGAAGATGACCGGAACATAGGTATATTGCGTTTATAAAATAGTTTTTCCGGAATTGCGGGAGCCTGCCGTGCGGGCGGGCAATGAGACTAGCATGGAAAGCAGCGCAATAAATTTCTTCAACGATTGATGTATCGCTCTTGACACGCCCGTTTGGAAAGACTGGGCTCTAAAAAGCATTTAAAGGGCATCAGGGACTTTTTTTTGGAAAAAAGCAAAGATTTTGCCGCGGCCGGGGGTTGAACCCGGGCCCTCCGCTCGGGAGGCGCGGATGGATACCAGTCAGCCACAGCTACAACCTGGCGAGGGGGTGAGGGGCGCCCCACGCCGCAAATGATGGAAATTGCTTCCCTCGCCACGGGCAGACAGTGCGCGCGGTCCCTACGTCCATAGGGTGTACACGTTGGGACGAGTACACGGCCCCTCCCTGAACGTGCGCTTTAATGCGCCAAAAATCGACCGAAAAAGCTAAAAAAGGCGACATCAACTGGAGAACAGGCAGATGCTCGCAAATTGCAATTACGAAAACTTGAATTGCAATGACTGACCTTTGGTTTGATGATGCTGGAAGCGGAAGAACTTCGTGTCGATCTCCGATTCAAATTCCTGTAATAAAGCGATTTTATATTTTTACAGCCAAGCCCAGTACCGTGATAACAAATGGTTTAATAATCTTTTTGTTCAGTGTTTGAGCAATTGCTATTTTCCAACAACCGACTTTTACTGTACCCGTGGAATTTCGACGTATGATATGTTGTGCAGATGGCTGATTCGGCTTAAGTGCAGTTTACCCCCCCAGCCCAGCTCCTCAGCCATTAGAGTTGTTATTCGACCCGGGTCGAAATGGTCGAAACTTTTGTGGGCTCCCGCAACGAAAACCTTGTAAAATTCATAACTTTATTCTAAAGTAGAATTCCGCTATTTCGTCTTCATTTTTGATTCTGTGAGATCATTTCCTACATTTTGAGTCCTTAAACTATAAGTTTTCATGCTAGAATCACAAAGAACGGCACACCATGGCAGGGGAAGTGGTTCCGAGAAATGGCCGCGCGCGGAACAAGGCAAGCCGGCCGTTCTTTATGATTCTAGCATGAAAACTTATAGTTTAAGGACTCAAAATGTAGGAAATGATCTCACAGAATCAAAAATGAAGACGAAAGAGCGGAATTCTACTTTAGAACAAAGTTGTGAATTTTATAAAATTTTCGCTGCGGGAGCCTACAAAAGTTTCGACCATTTCGACCCGGGTCGAATAACAACTCTATCAGCCATACGTCCTATTAATGCGCCGAGTATTGCAAAAGGTTTGCCGTGGCCGAAAAGCTCTAATAAAGTTGTTTCCTTACGGCAAAAACTGTTGGAAAAATTTTTACAAGATTTTGAAAGTTGAAATGATTAAGCCGCTATGCTTCGATGTACCAGAAGTCAAAAACTCAAATATTTTTATTTTCCGCTATTTTTTCGACTCAAACGTACTGTAGGCTTATTCTCCAGAGCAAGAGCTACATTCTGGTACCATTGACGGCTCTGTACGTCAAAAGATAGCCGAGATACGAAAACTCACTTTGGAACAGCAAAAATTAACTAACTAACTAAGTAAGGAAAACCCAGACTTAAATTGTTGTAACAATTTTTTTAACAATTTTTGGCGCAAGCAAACAACTTTTTTAGAGGTTTTCGACCACGGCGAACATTCTGAGATACTCGGCGCATTAATAGGACGTATGGCTGAGGAGCGAGGCTGGGGAGGGGGGGGCGGGGTAAACTGCACTCTTACCGCTGATTCTGAATAAGTTTTCAGAAGTGGTGGAATCTCTCTAGTTCGAAAGTTACAACCGTTTTCGAGCGGATTTTATCTAACGTATTGAAATCCCCTCACTGTCCCCAAAAATCGTTAGAACTAGGGGGGGGGGTACAACTGCAAGAAAACCACAAAGAAGATTCCTCTCCCCTTTTTTGATTTTCGTGACCCACGCTTGCGATATATTTCTCGAAGAAGGCGTTGATGTGGAGGGCGGCGACTGAATTTCTTTCCATGGGGCTCGGTTTCGGACCAGGCAACGCATTCTAAAAATTGCATCTTCTCTCTCTCTCTCTCTAATTCCTACCATATCTTCGGGGAACCGCAGGCTAAAACGCTTGAATACGGTCACGGTCCGCATCCTTCCATCTAACAACCCCTCCCGATTTTCGAGCATCTCCTGAAAAACCTTGTGTAGCTAAAAAGGAGTATATTATGGGTGCTTTTAAATTTTTCCGAAATGACATAGCTCATTCTATAGCGCTTCAGATGATTAACAAATCCCATTCACGAAAAATTGGCGAACGGTAGCACACGTGGAGAAGAAGGGTTCTGTTTCGTTAGCGCGGGGAGGGGTTGTCAGGGCGCACAATTATTTTGTCGATAGCTTCTCTTATCTTACAAGGCGAGAGAGAGTGAGAGAGAAAGAGAGCGAGAGAGAGAGCGGACGAGAGAGAGCGAGAGAGAGAGAGAGAGAGAGAGAGAGAGAGAGAGGTGATAGAGACAAATTAAAATGCCGACGAAGAGCCAGCTCTAACGTACCCCAATAATCTGCAGCGCCTCCGGGATGCTGAATTTCGGTCCATTCCAGATGAGGGCCCGATTATTCCACGGCTCGTAAATCTTCTCACGGTTCTGTCGGCTTGTGCCTCCAGACTGAAATAAAGATTGGTATAAAAAATGGGATTTTAACGTACGGGATTAATATTGGAGACATCGGGTCGGAAACGGATAAATGGCAAGGTTCCTGGGCAATCCTTCGGCCAGAGCACCTGAGTGCGATACAAACCGACAATTCGAACCGAACTCAGCACTTCCGCCATCTAAAACTGGGAGTGTCAAATGAAGGCACCCCATGAATGTCTCGCCGGTGCCGAGGAGGGCAACTTTTTATGATTTAGGGATTAATCAACTGGGGTTTGCAGACGGGCAAACATTTGGGCGAAAGGTGATATTGGAGTTTTTGAGCGAGACCTAGCTAGTTCGATAGAAAAAAAAAATTCTGAGCAAGATCTCGTTTTCGAAATCTGCTAACCGTGTATCGTATTCGATAAAAATGAATTTTAATGAAAAAATTCCGTGGCGCCACGCGGCCACAGTTGGATCAGGCCCGGGACATAGGCAGCAATGCGAACCAGCATCCGCATGGGATGGTGGCCTAGTGGATAGTGCAGGCGCCTATCAAACTTTTGCAAATTTATGCTCGGGGGTTCGGAACTTTTTTTGATTAGCGGTTTTGCTTTTTGGTTTTAAACGCTATTGAGGTCATATTTGGCATCACAGAGCAAAAAGCAAAAGAGTTTCACTAGCCAGGAGTCGAACCCGAAGGCAAAAAAAGATAAAACTTATGAGGCAAGTGCACTACCAATATGCCAGGCGATCATGCTGGTTTAGGGGTCTGAAGGGGGCTATGTTCACGCGCACCCCAGAGCCAAAACTGCGGATCAGGTGAGAAATGATGGCGAAATTAATGATTTTCAAATTAATTTTTATCGAATACAATACACGGTTAGCAGATTTGGAAAACGACATCTTGCTCAGAATTTTTTTCTCTATCGAACTAGCTAGGTCTCGCTCAAAAACTCCAATATCACCTAAAATCGACTCCTTGTTAGGCGATATGGAGGATCTTTCGGATTAACGAACGAGTCTAGAAATGCATCCTACTAGCCCTCCCGAACCCCCATTTAGTAAATACTTGCTGTGCCGATTTTCGCTGTGCCGATTTACGGTAAGCCGATTTTTGGTATGCCGAATTTTCTATATGCCGAATTTCACTATACTGAATTTTCACTATACCGAATTACGCTATGCCGAATTTTTTCTACACTACTACTAATAGTCTCTACTAATGTTAATAACTTAATAACTTAGATCGACTGGGACTTAGCGGTGCAACAAAAAATCTGTTGCGCCTACGGGACCTACGATCTGCCCGAGTTTTTGGAAATCTCTAGGCTAACACTAACTTTCTAGGCCCATTATATGTGGAAAAATAGTCAAAAAGGGGGAATATATCGCTTATCAAAATTGGTATGGCGAAGATTCGGCCTGGTGAAAATTCGGTATTGTGAAAATCGGCATGGTGAAAATTCGGTATACTAAAAATTCGGCATAGCGAAATTCGGTATAGTGAAAATTCGGTATACCGAAAATTCGGCATAGCGGAAATCGGCACAGCGTCAATCGGCATAGCAAAATTCGGCATAGCGAATGGAACTCCCCCATTTACCCCCAACGACCCCCATTTTGATCCCCATCGCAACACCCCCCCCAAAACCCCCGCGCGGTGTTTTTGATATCTGGTAGGATTTCAGTTTTTATAAAAATTTCTGGTACTCTCATTGTTAGGAAACAATTCGCATGTACCGGAAGTGGCGGTAGCCTCGTTTATATTTGAAAAACCAGAATTGAAAAAGACAGAGGGCATGTTCATGACTCAAAAACCTGGTTTTAAAAAACTGACCTCGACTCCCTTTGTGGTCCATCCCATATACGAAGCCTCTATCTGCAAATGAGATAGATTAAGGGAGCGTGAACGTTGTGGGGGGAGGGGGGCAAAGGGCAAGGGGCACCTATTCCCCCCCTCCGCGAAATCTGGTTTCCCGGCATGCGGCGTTGACATACCATTGATTGCCACTCAGGCTCCATGTAGTATGGTGTCCAACAGATCGGCTGAAACAAGTCAATTAATGGCACGACAACCCGAGCTGTTTTACAACAAAAGTCAATTCAACCCGATTGTGAATTTGTCGGAAGCTCGATTGCTTTTGCTTTGTGTGATTTGCTGAGGGCTTTAAGAATCGGAGTTATTTGAACTGGAAGTTCCAGAGATACAGAGAGAAGCAAAAAGGTAAAGTTTGGTTAACGGGGGGGGGGGCAAATAACGGGGGGTGGAAACCATTTTTCCCCTATAGGGACCTGTGGTGCTAATCCAAGGAATTTCGGGCTGGGATTTGGAGGTATTTTGATAGTGGGGATTACGCGCATTTTATTACCTATACAAATTTTCAGCAGTTTAAGATTCAAAAATTGAATTTTTTAAAGTGACCAGAAGGCCTCCCTCCCGGGATCATTGGGTCGCCCTTTCCTTTGCCCCGTCCCCACCCCAGGGCACAAGACGCCTTTCCCACCGGTCGTTCCCATCTGCCCGTGGTGTAGTGGAATTGCGCCCGGTCTACCACCCGTATGGTCGTGGGTTCGAATCCCGTGCGAGTTTTCCTATTTGCTTTTTGATAGTTTAGCAACAAAACATATTTCTAGGCTCTCGGTGTGCGAGGTTTAGGCGTGGCTCTCGCTCTAGCGCCGCAGGCGGAAGGAAATGTCCTTTCCCAGGCTCTCGCACCGCAGGCCGATGATGGTTCCTTGATCTAGGCTCTTGCGCCGCAGGCCTAATCCGGCAGAAAAACCAGTGACTAGCGCCGCAGGCAAAAGGGTTCTAGCGCGAGGTTTACTAGGGAGGTATCTGAACTCGGCATCGAACCTTGGGAAGTCAGATACACCATTCGACGCGCCTTGTCGAGGGGATTCCAAATATGTAATAAAATCAACCAGAGCCTATAGCCGTAAAAAGTTATGAGCATTCGAAGTCGACAAAATGGTGAAAAACAGTATCTTTGAGACCCTGTATCATCCCGCGGAATGGAATTTAGCCTAAACTGATTGGTGCTCTTTGTTCAACAAAGAAAGCTCTTTCAAATAAGCTATATTACATACGGCTGCCAAAAACTTCCGCAAAAGAGATTTTTGGAATGCAGTGTAAGGGTAGGGTATGGGCAGCTTGCAAGACATTTCGAGAATTTCGCGTCAAGCCTATGTGAGATAGCCCATTCGAAAGAGAATTTTCTGCTGATCAAGATGTACTGTTCTATTTTTGGACAAATTACATTCTTCGAATTCGTACAGAGTCTTAAAAGGGCGGTTTTTGATGATTTTGCCAACTTTGATATAGAGAGCGTCCAATCCTGGTCTTGTTGCCCGAGGTTATTTTATCATCGCTGGTGCCTTTTAGGGGTCACACAGTCAAGAAAAACTTATTCCCGAGTTTGGAAATGCAAAAAGTAGGAACTGGCCAAAAAGCAAAAAATAAAAATCGTGAGTGGATCCGAACTCTGGTCGTACAGACCGCAGACCCATGCGCACACCACTAGGCCACGGGGCCGACGAACAGGGTGCGCTAAGAGGGGCTCATATCGCCGCGGCGGTTTTCGCTGCAAAACTTAAAATGCTCATAACTTTTTACGGTTATACGCTCTGGTTGATTTTATTACATATTTGGAATCCCCTCGACAAGGCGCGTCGAATGGTGTATCTGACTTTTCAAAGTTCGATGCCGAGTTCAGATACCTCCCTAGTTAGGCCTGGCTCTCGCTCTAGCGCCGCAGGCCAAAGAATGACGCCTTGACCCAGGCCGCGACATGGGCAAAAACGCTTACCGATGCCGAGTAGCGTCCAATAACGAGTTCGAGCACTCGAACAGTGCCGATGCGAGTGAGCATTCGAGCCAATTGCTCAAAATATCGAGCGCTCTTCAGAAGGTATTCTCTGAATTTAGTAAAAGTAAGCCAGTAAAACGCCTTGTGCTATAGGTATACAAAACTCATACCGTTTGCTATAATAGGTTTCCCAGGTTACAGAGTAACGGTTACCAAACGGTGCCATCCTCACACCGTGCGGCTCACTGAAAAAAGTGCTGCATTGGAAGTGTACTAGCTTGAGAAGAAATTAGGTCCAAGAAAATAGAAAAATCTATCCAGATTGAAATGCCGGACGGAAATGGATAAGACGCAGTCGGCGCCGTTTTTATTGCGACACCAGTTTTATTGTGTCCTAATAAAAAAGTTTACACTGGCATGTTGCCATTGCAAATTCGAATGCGGGAAAGGTGGAAGGGAATTTGAAATGTTCACAGAAACTCGCGGCACGATCGGTACGGTAGTTTTTGAGTTATGGAAAAAAAACAAATTTTAAAGAAAGGAAAAAAGTTATTGAAAAATTTCGGAAATCTCAATTTCTCGAGGGCTTCGGAAAAGGTGCCTTGGCTCAAGTCTAGGAAACACCCCCCCAGCCGACTTTTCAGCTTTTCTACCTTTCTTATTTTTATTTTTCGCTACTTTTTCGACTGAACTGCAATGTAGTCTTACTAATTAGCCGACGGCGAACATTTTGGTATACTTTAGAGCTCGCTAGCACAAAAGGGGGCCGAGATACAAAAGTTGGTGCCGGCTGGGGGGGGGGGGGGTTTTCTAGACTCTTACCGGTGCCTTTTAGAGATTGTATCCGCATCTCATTGCAAATTGATACACTGGTATTTTTGAGATTCTACGACGAAAATTTTTTTATGATGATTTTTGCGGAAACAACGGTTTGAAAATTGAACATAATTATAAAGTCACTTTGGAATAGTACCCGTTTTCCTGGGGGCATTGATTTGACAACCCTTGACAACCCCGTTGATTAGAAGAATGAGGGATTTAGAGCCGGAAAATGATGTTAATAATTGATGCAAAATCCAAAAGGTGGCCGAAAAATGAAGCGAGTAAGTTGAAAAAACAGTATTTGTGCAATAACTTTAAAGCTACGGTAGGGATCGGGCTGAAAGTGTCTGTGAAGATCCGCTGAGGGGGGGGGGGTAGCTATCAACTGCCGTATCCTACCTTTTTTTATATAAATGATAGAGCTCGTTCTTGGGGTAAGCAGCACAGAAACCCTCGCCGTCACGACTCATCACCGCCATATACACTTCCGGAAATGACATCTGAAAACGAGGCAATTTCCTTTTTTTAACCGACTATCAAGGTAATATTTACCAAAAGATTCTAGGAGTCTAGTAAGCTAAGAAGTAAGCTAAGAAATTCAGCTGGGAGGGGGCTGGGATTGAACTAGCGTCGGCTCCGGATTGGCACGCCGACGCTCTACTCGTTGCGCCACCGGGCTCCCAAGCGGAGGGTCCGGGGTCGATTCTGCGACATCGAAAGAAAGGAAATTTCTTTTTGCTCTTTTTTTGCAATCGCTTCAGGTCGGCTTCTAGATGCGTTTTAATACCTCAGATTAACAAAATTCACAACTTTGTATTTTTATGGGACAGTTTTTCCGCATCTTTCGCCTTTTTTTCAATGTTAGTATTCCTAGCGCAAGCTAAATGATACACCAATTGATGCAGAAAAATCTCGCGCATCTTCCATGCTAGTTTCAGGTTGCGCTCGGAATACTGAAAATTCGAAAACCTCAAAAAACACTGTCTTTACTTTTCGATTTTGCCATGTTCCGGTCATTTTCGCGCTTTGCGATGTATTAGGGAAATGATCCCCATCCCAAATTAGGTATTGCCACAAGGTTTGAGCAGATTCGGTGCAGTAGCTATCGAGATAGTTTTTCGGGGTCGGCAATTTTCAGGCTCATTTAAACCCTAAAAATTAACTTTTTAAACTCTCAAAACTATGCAGCCCGATTAATTCGACCATGCTCTTTCAGATGGCATCAAAAACCGAATCGAAAAAACTGTGCGAAGCCTATCCCTATTTCTTCTTAACGGCCTTTTAAATTAAGGAAATACCTGATCCAATTTTCCAAACTGTCCGCTGATGCTGAGGATATTAATCCGACCGGGCAGCAGACCCCTCACATTAATGCGTCGTCTAAAAGGGATGTAAAGAAGGAATTGACAGTTATTAGATAGACAGCCTCAGCGATAAATACATCAATAAACACCATACCGAAATGATTTGGTGGTCCGATGGAGGGCGATCAATTCATCTGGATTCAGATGATCAAGTACCAATCCAATTAACGAGTCGGGTAAACAGCTCATCTCCTAAATGACTGCAATTATTACTTAGTTATTTATTAAAAAACTAAAATCGCTATGAATTCAATCGCTGTAAAATCCTAAGCGCACTTTTTTGGTGAGAGAACAATATATAATTTGAGGGGCATATTTCTGACAATTAATGGGATCCACTGACCAAGGCCACGATTTTGACCTCGATCTGGGTGCTGACCTGGGTGCCATCTGCTGAGCTGCCATTTTGCCGCCGGACAGATGATAAAGCTAGCCGGCACACTAAAGGCAGGCGCACCGGTCCCCATACAAATAAACCGTTTTTGCTTTTAAATGCGCCTTACTTAGTACAACATTAAAAATTATACCTTTATTATTATAATATATACCGTATTTTAACGCACCATTGGGTACTTTATCGTGAAACTGGCGTGTTGGGGTACATATTCTCAGATATCGGTGCTTTATTGCACATTTTAACTGGGTTTTTATCCTTTAATACATTTAGTAAAGGAAATAGTTTATTTGAAGCGTCTTCAGCTATTTGTTTAGTAGTATTATGCTGGTCTACCTGTGCGTTCTTTTTATTTGAAACGTTTCCTACAAATCATGCGTTATCCCCGTCGTGCTCAGGGTTTTTCTTTCTTACAATATTTTTTTCCTGGTTTATTACCTTTCTTACCACTAATAGGAATTCTGATTTTTATATCAAGTAGCCTCGAAATTAAAGCTTTTTACTTTGAATAATTATTTTTACGCTCTCAATCCACGAAGTAAACGACTCGTCTTCAATTAAACTATTTCCTTTACTAAATGTGTTAAAGGATAAAAACCCGGTTAAAATGTGCAATAAAGCACCGATATCTGAGAA